CACAAGCCTTAGCCCCTGCTCTCAGAGACCACACTCTCCTGCCTTTGGAGGGGTCAGAGGAAAAAGTGCAGGGGACCTGGATTCTCTTCATAGCCTCACTAGGAATATGGCTGCTCACTTGAGGTCTCAGTTTCCCGCTCTGTTAAGTAAGGGATCATAATTCCAACTTGGCAAGGTTGCTGTGAGGGTCAAGAAGGAGCTTGGCAGTGAATGTCTGTTGAAGGGAGGAGGCCGCCAGGACTGGGGGGCAGGTATTCTCTGGCTCAGCAACTCTGCAGGAGTCTGGAAGAACCCCTCCCTCTGGCACCTGACAAAAGCTGGGCATCCTCACCCTAGAAACACATGTGCATCCTACAATTAGATGCACAGGATGTCCTTCAGGGGCTTGGCCCCACAGCTGCCCCCCATGGCATGGACCCCTGGTTAGGAGGCCCTAATGCACACAGAGCTTGGTGCTATCCTGAAGGGCATGGCCAGCAACGGTGGCTTCTCTAAGATGTGACTCTTAGGGCCTAGGCTCACCGGGCCAGAGTCAGGCTCAAGCATATGTCAAGTCCCCTGTACAGAACCCACACACTGGTCTATCAGTGCTCATTTCCACCGAAAGCAGGATGGGTAGCAGGACTTCCCCAGAAGGTGGGGGGCGGCTCTGAGCTGCCTGCGAAAGAATCACTGAAGAGATCGGTTCCAATTAGAAGGTCTGGTTGGGGCCTTGGCATCTGTATTTTTTTGAGTCAGGATCTCACTCTGTCGCCCAGGTTGGAGTGCAGTGATGTGACCATAGCTCACTGCAACCTCCAACTCCTGGGCTCAAATGATCTTCCCGTCTCAGCCTCCTGGTTAACTGGGACTACAGGGACACACCACCATGCCCAGCTAACTTTTTTATTTTTATTTTGTGGAAGTGAGATATTGCTATGTTGCCCAGGCTCATCTTGAACTCCTGGGCTCAGACAATCTTCCTGCCTCAGTTTCTCAAAGTGCTATGAAGGTGTGAGCCACTGCCCCTTGCCTGGAATGTATGTTTTTAGAAGCTCTCCCGGGGATTCGGAAGCAACCAGTTTGATAACCACCGACGTAAGGTCTTCACCTGGAGTGGAGTTTTGTTTCTGTAATGGAGAAATCATATATCTCTCTCCCTCCCTCTGCCCATCTCTCCCTCTCTTCCACCACCCCTCCCTCCTTCCCAGCCCACCTCTGTGCCTCCCCCATCCCTCCCTCTATCCCTCCACCCCTGCATCCCTCCCTCCCTCTGCCCGTTCCTCCCTCCCTCCCCCTCTGTTTATCCCTCCCTCCCTCTGTCCATCCCTCCCTCTGCCCATTCCTCCCTCCCTCCCTCCTCTGTTTCTCCATCTGTTTATCCCTCCCTCCCTCTGTCCATCTCTCCCTCCCTCTATCCACTCAACACATACTGATTGAACTTCAGCTCTGGAGTTTGAGAGCCAGGCAGGGGTGGGATGCTGGTAGGACAAGGCCCAGCCCTGCACTCCAGAGCTCACAGGCTCTCTCTTCCCTGCCCTTCTCTCTCTGGAGCTCTGAGAACCTTTCCCAGACGTGGTCTCTCTAAGCGTCTTCTCCCACGGGGCTCTTTAGACTCGTGACTCCAGAGGGGCAGGGCCTGAAGGTCTCAGGCCCATCCCTGCCCGGTGGGATGGCTCCTCTGAGAGGCCACTGTCCCCTTCCTTCCTGGGGTGCCTGCTCCTATTCCCAACATGCTAAAGCCGCATCCTATTCCTGCAAGGAACACAGGGAGGCCCGTTGTGCAGGCAAGGGGCACCCGGGCCTGGGGTCACAGAGAGGAGAGAACAAGTGTGGGTCCCCTGAAACTCACATGGGATGGGGAAGGCATGGTGGAGGGAGTCACCACCAACCCAGGCCAGGTGGAAGGGTTGAATAGTAAGGCTGTGACATAGCAAGAAATATACATGGTACTTCATCCCTCTCAGGACCCCTAAAAGTCTTTGTAACCAGCTCCTGATGAAGAGCTCCCAGTTCCCTCGAGCTTTCCTGGGTCATGAGAGCATCTTTTGTTCTGGTGAGGTGACTCCTGGTGGCTCCTGGGTGGGGTTGGTCACCAGGAAAGTCAAGCCACGATAGAAGCTTGGGGCTTTCAGCCCACCCTGTCCTCGGTGGGAGGGGCTGAATGAATAATCTTGCCTATGTGATGAAACCTACACAGAGACCCCAAAGTGCAGGGTTTGAGGGAGTGAACACATCCCTGTGTCCCGAGGGCAACTCCACGGGACAGGCTCTCCTGAGCTGGGACCCTCCCAGGCCCTGCCCTGGCCCCTCATCACCTGGCTGTTCATCGGCGCTCTTTATCAGCTCCTTTACTGTAAAAACAACACTGAGTTTGTTTTCTTGAGTTCTCTGAGTCATCATAGAAAATTCCCGAACCAGAGGAGGCGACTGTGGGAACCCCGCGATTGCTAGCCAAGCTGGGTAACCTGGGGACCCACTCTCTGTGACTGGCATCTTAAGTAAGGGTACAGTCTTGGAGACTAAGGCCCCAGCCCGTGGGGTCTGCAATGGCTCTGGGTGGTAAGAGTCATGACTGGGCTGTAGGACACTGGTGGTGTCCAGAGAGGAGGACTGCTCCATGCCTGGTGGCCAGTGCTGTGGGAAAGGTGGACAAAAAGCCATTTCTCCTGTGCAGGGTGCTCCAGGAGCATGGAGGGTCCACAACGGGGAGGGGTCTCGGGCGGGGTCTGGGCTCTGCTGCTTTCTTCCTCAGGAGGAACAGGCAGGCTGCACGCCTAGGAGAAGCCATGGCTGTGCGAGCCCATCTGTCTCTCAAATCCTGCCCTCTCTGTCTGTCCCACAAGGTCACATTGCCGGGTCTCTGGTTTGGTCCTAGCTCTGTCTTCCTTGTCTTTCTTCAGCTTCCCAGCCGCTTGCTTCCTGCTGTCCTGACGTGCAGCTCGGGGGTGGGCAGAGCAGACGTCTGTGCGGCCCGCAGGCTTCCTTGGTTATGCCAGCATCCTTCTTTGTCTGGCGGCCTCAGCTCTGCGGCTTAGACTTGCCTATGCACCTAGATTGGGGATGGATGCTGAAGGATGTGATGGGCGTGGCTGCACCAAGAATCTGGGAGAACCAGCAGGAGGCTGGCTTGGTTTGGAGGTCAGACACCTGCATGTGGACCAACAAGTTCTGGACACACTCAGCCTGCAACCTGTCGTGTGACCTTGAGCGATCTGTAGGAAACTGCAGTGGTGCTCCCAGTGTGGAGGAATCAGAATTTGCATTTTAACAAGGAACCTGGGTGACTTGCATGGACATTTATGTTTAGGCAGCCAGCCTGGGAGAATCTTCTTGCCATTAGCACATGCTGAGGGTGGCAAGGTGGTGACCATGTGTCAGGTCCCATAGAAGCCTCTCTGTATGTGAAGGGGACCAGATGGCATTGATGGCAGAGTGCAACATGGCATCTAGACTTTGAGATCTAGCCCGCAGATCTTGGCCTGATACTATGCTCAACTTCTTCTGTATAAAGTTTCCAACATTGAAAAATTGGGACATTTCTCATCAATAGCTAGACTTCCAGCTTTTCCTAAAAAATCAAATGACATGGGGAATGGGCCACTTTCCACATGGCAACAATCAGTCCTCCCCTGTGAGCTTGGGAGCCCACAGGCCTTGCCCAAGTTATCTTCTAATCATCAGTACTTTGCAGATAAAGTCCCAAGGGCCTCATAAGACATGAAAAGATGCTCAAGGCTCACTCCTAATATGATAATTGTGAATTAAATCTGTACTGAGTCACTATCTTCCACCTGCCTCACTAGCAAATACTAAAAGGTTGGACAACACTGGGCCGACAAGGTCAAGGGGAGTGGGTCCCCGTGCTTGCTAGTGGGAAAGCAAGTTGGTACAGTCTTTAAGATGGACAGTCTCTCATGGTCTGCCCAAATTGCCAGGCAACACCTACCCCATCTTAGCCAAATAGCACCAGTTCTAGAAATGGATCCCCCAGACACATGCATACATGGGAGCTGTAATCCTAATACTCATGCACAAGATTTGGCCTTGGAGCACTGTCTGTAATAGCTGCAGATGGGAACTAACCTAATTGTCCACCAGTAGGGGACTGGCTAGGAAAATAAAGATAGGGCAGCTGTACAATGACATGCTGTATCATGAGGAGCTCTTTATATTGTGACAGGGAAAGAGGGTCTCTTAATATATTGTGGACTGAACAAAGGAGGGAGCAGGATGGCATATGGAGTCCAGGACCATTTGTGTGTGGGAGAATCTGAGGGAAAGTGACTCAAGCATCTGGCAACAGTGGTCAACTCTGGGAAGGGACCTCAGAGGCCAGGGGACGGAGGTGGGAGGGAGTCTTTTCACTGTCTACACTTTTGTATCTTTTGAACTTTGTTTTATTATAATAACAATTTTTTTAAGAGATAGAGTCCTGCTCTGTCGCCCAGGCTGGAGTGCAGTGGCGTGATCACAGCTCACTGCAGCCTCAAGTGATCCTCCCGTCTCAGCCTCCCAAGTAGCTGGAACCCTAGGCACACAACACCACTCTTGGCTTATTTTATTTTTTGTAGAGACAAGGTCTTGCTATGTTTCCTAGGCTGGCCCTGAACTCCTGGCCTCAAATCTTTCTCCTGCCTTGACTCTCCCACAATGCTGGGATTACAGGCAGGACCACCGTGCCCAGCCTTCTTTTGAACTTTGAACCATGTCAATGTGTTACCTACTCAAAGAATTGAAAACGGAAAACTTTCAGAGTCCTAGATTTTGTGGCTCTAATGTTTTACCACTTGGTGAGCCCAACTCTGATGATGCTGGAGGGCTCGCCTCTCATGGATCACGTTTCTCAGAACCGCTTCTGGTCCCTGTTCTGGGTCTCCATCCCTGAGTCAGGCTGCAGCACCCGGGAGCCTGGGCCACTCTGATGAGGGGCTTTCTCCTACCCACCCCTGGCATGGCACAGCTGCATGAACTCCTGGCCCTCTCCCTCACTGTCTCGTCTCCGCTTCTCTTCCTCCCAGGGGAGCCTTCTCGGTGGTGCGCCGGTGTGTGAAGGTGCTGGCCGGCCAGGAGTATGCTGCCAAGATCATCAACACCAAGAAGCTCTCAGCCAGAGGTAAGGTCCCCTTCTGCCCTGCCCGCCCTCAGGGGGCAACCCTTCTCCCCCTCACCAAAGGAGGGAGCAGGACGGCATACAGAGTCCAGGAACATTTGTGTGTGGGAGAATCTGTGGGAAAGTGACTCAAGTACCTGGCAACAGTGGTCAACTCTGGCAAGGGACCTCGGGGGCTAGGGGACAGGGATGCTTAGAACTAGAATCCAGTGCTGTGCCCTTGGGTGATGTGGATGGCAGGGCTGAGGGCTCTTCTTCCTGAAGATGCCATGTAACTAGACCCCCCCGTTCTTTCCTTGGGCAATGGAGGCTGGAGGTCACAGCCTCTCTCAGACAGGCCAAACTCTGCCCACAGGTGCAGACTAAGTCATGATGGGGCTTTCTGTCCTGCTTCCCTGTTCACTTCACCCCCCACCCCCACCCCCCTGCCGGCCAGAGCTTGGCTCTTGCCATCCCTTCTGCCCACGCACCCTGACCTGACTTCTTGCACGGGTGGCTCCTTCTCAGCCTCCAGTTCTCAACCCAATGTCACGTCTTTTGAGAGATTTCCCTGACCCCCAGTCTTAGGGGGATCCCCGCTGCCTCTCTCATGACTGTGTCTTCGTGGCTTTCCCTGACCTGGTCTAGTCCTGTTTCCTGTTGGCTCTTTGTCCAAGGCCCATCTCTCTTTCTGGTCGTGAGCTCCCCGGGGTGAGTGCTCTGCATCCAGCACCTAGGACAGCGCCCGGCATCAGTGAGAGCAGCCTGGACTCTAGGTGCGCCCGGGCTGTAGTGGCCTAGCCACTCCTGGTCCCTGGATAGTTGGTCTGGGTGTGGCCTGGCTTGTGGAAAAGATGCCTGGGCAATTCTGACTTGCAGATGAATTCTGGAACCACTGCCCTCATACCTTAGCCATGGTCCTGACCAGCAGGGCTGGTAGCTTGTTAGAAATGACTCTGCCTTTCAACTCGGGGCTTTATGTTGGGGTGTGGGAAGCCTTCCCAGGAGGCTCATTCTTGCAGGTGTGTGTCTCGGGCAGCGGCAGTGGTGACCACAGTCAGCGTGTCGGAGAGGGCTGTCTTCAAGGACACCGATCTCCACCCCAGATGAACTGGTGTAAAGCTGTCCTGGGGACCTGGGGTGGAGGGACTTCTGTTGGGTGAGGTGCACGTGCAGGTGCAACTGTGCAGCCCGGGCATGTGCTGTGTGGAGACGCTGTGTGAGGGTCGGCTGAGTGTCCAGGCATCTGACAGGTATGGCTGCATTGGGTTGCGGCCTGGCAGGTGTGGGTCCACAGTGGATGACCTACTGTCCCCATAGGCCTTCCAGCAGGCCGGTGCCCACTGGTGTGTTGCTGGCTTTCATCTCCCTGCCCAGGGTTGCTGGGAGCGCAGCAGTCTCCACACAAGTCGTTCATGTCCTGCCAACAGAAGCAGCTCTGTGGGGGTGGGGAGGAAGGGAGTCCTCCGCGGGCCCAGGGCCCTGGGGGCACAGTCAGTGTGCAAAGCTGGACCTGTGGCCGGCTAGGAGTAGAGCAGGGGAGAGGCTGACAGGAGCACCACCTCCCGCCCAGATGCCTCGGTGGCCTTGTGGTTGCTGTGTGACCGGAGGCGATCTGGTGCCCATTCTGCGCTTTGGGTCTCTGGTGATCAAGGGGGTGATCCCCATCCTTGAGATGCAGTGGGGACAGGACAAGAGTCATGACTTGGGGTGGTCGGAGAGGGGGCCCGAGAGGAGGAAAGTCAGGAACCAAGGACCTCCCTGGAGCTGGGGTGTTGGGCCAGCTGGCCACTGTCAGGGGCATGGACACACACACACGCACACACACGCAAACTATACACACATACACACACACACACCCTGGTCAAGAGAGACAGCCATGATGGGAACTGGGAAGGCTTTTTGCCTTGCAAGGTGATCAAGCACCCCCAGGTCAGTATTCTCTGAGCTGTGCCCAGATCACCGCCCAAGCCCGCTCTCTGTGGAGACCTGTTGAATCATTGACCTCTGGGAAGGAAAGCGGCCCAGGCCTAGGTGAGTGTGGAGGAGGGTGGGGTGGGGATGTTGTCAGGGAACCTTCCAGAAAAGACTGCCAACTGCCAGCTGCAGTCCCCCAACGGGAGAGGAGGAGCTGAGCTGCTTTTAGCAGGATCTCTGTTTGCCACTCATGGTGCCTTGGGGGAGGGGGTTAAGCTGAGTATCTGGCAACACGCTCCCACACCTCCTGCTGGCACTTCTGGGGGATTTCCAGCAGTGCCTGGCAGGGGCCGCGCCACCAGGGGCCATCCACCCTTCCCTTGCCCAGCCCACCCAGCTTCTTTTAGCAATGGTTCCCAAACCCAGGAGATATTTTCATATGAATTTTTAAACTAGTCTTTAAAAAATGCTCATACTAGCTGGGCTCGGTGGCTCAGCCTGTCATCCCGCGCTTTGGGAGGCTGAGGTGAGTGGATTGCCTGAGTCCACGGGTTCGAGACCCACCTGGGCAACTTGGCGAGACCTCATCTCTACAATAAATAAAAAAATCAGCCGGGCGTGGTAACGCATGCCTGTAATTCCGGCTACTCGGAAGGCTGAGGCGGAAGGATCGCTGGAGCCCAGCAGGTCGAGGCTGCGGTGGCCGGGAGCGGCCACTGCACTCCAGTCTGGGTGAGAGTGAGACTCCAACTCAAAAAAATAAAAAATGCTCATACTAAAAACAATTCAAAGAAAGCATAAAGAAGTGAGATGACAAGTAAAAATCCTGCCTGTCCCAATCCTGGCCAAATCCCTTGGGAGCTTTTTAAAAAAGTGCCGGGGGCCCCTTGAGGGCTGGGTCGGCAGGTGAGGCCCAAAGCCTTAAAACCTTGTCACCAGGAACAATGGCTCTGGTCTCACTCCCACCAGTGCTCTGTGACCTCCTACCTTTCCTGCCCATGCTCACAGAGCTGACAGGCCAGGGCACACGGGCATCCTCAGGTACCAAGGAGCCGCTCCCCCAGCATTCCACTGGGCAGTCTCCAGAGCACTGGGCAGGAGGGGTTCAGCCATTCAAGTCCCTGCAGGGAAGTCTCTGAGTAAATAGTGAGGAGCAGGGCTCCAAGTGGGAGGATGTCTTGAGGCCAGGAGTTTGAGACCAGCCTGGGCAGCACAGTGAGACCTCCTTTCCACACAAATAAAAGGAAACTTAGCCCGGCATGGTGGTGCCTGTAGTCCCAGCTACGTGGGAGGATAACTTGAACCCAGAAGCTGGAGGCTGCAGTGAGCTGTAATTGTGTCACTGCACTCCAGCCTGGGCAACAGTGCAAGACCCATTTCTGAGATAAAACGTTTGCAGGAAGATATGGTCCCTCTTCCTGCCCTCCTCCCCACTGTCACCAGGCACTCCTGGTCCTGGGATTCTTCCTTTAACCTCCCAGGATGGGGACCCCCACGCAGGGAGGGGCATTTCCTGCTCCCAGACGTGAGGCCTCTGTTCTTCCTAGCTCCCGTGCCTCCTACCAGAATGTTCAGGGCCTGCCTGCAGGAGCTTTGCACCCTCTGTAGGCAGAGACCCACCGTCTGCATAGTCACACTCCTCCTGGCCCCACCCTGCCCTGCGGGTACTGCCTGGCTCCAGGGATCTCACCCTGGAATGTCACCTCCTACCCCACTGAGCTCTGGGCAGGGATGTGCCCTTGACCCAACCATCCAAGGAGAGAGAGAGAGAGAAAGTTCCCAAGATGTCATCGGGACATGAGGGGCAAACCTCTCAGGCCCTGGGCAGAAGACTGGAGATTCCTGGCTTCCCTGAGACTCTTCACAGCCATGGCCTCTGCAGAGGTCAACCGATTAGCTCATCCATTAATGAATTAGCAGAACAGGAAGCAACATAGTGGCATTATGGGGCACACAGGTAGGACCCCAACTCTGCCCCTTGTTTGCTGCGGGGCCTTGGACCAGCTTCTTGCCAGCTCCATGCCAGGCCCTGGGGGCACTGCAGTAACCCATAGGCAGGGCTTTGCTCTCATGAGGCCTGCTATCTAGCCAGTGAGACAGAAAAGAACATTAAACATAAATCAGCTGGGTAGTTTTTAGTAGAGACCAGGGTTACGAAGAGAATAAGAAAGAATCCTGGGGAGTGTTGGGCAGGAGGGACATTCCTAGAAAAGGCAGCCAGGGAAGCTCTCCTGAAGGTGAGACTATGCTGGGACCTGCCTTGTGAGGAGGTGGCCACGGGAAGACCCAGTGGAGAAGTGATCTGGGCACAGGGCACAGGTGGTGCAAAGGCCCTGGGGTGGAAGGAGTTGGGTGTGCCTGAGCCAGAGGGGAGCAGTGTGACTGAGATGGGGCAGGACCCAGAGGAGGCTTGTTGGTTGTTTGAAGAACTTGAAGCCAGGGGCTGGCAGAGTCAGATTTACATTTTAAAGGACTCCTTGGCTGTCTGGACTGTTGGCTGGGGGTGCGGGAGAGAGCTGGAGGAGGTTCCCAGAGCTGGACCTCGGGGCTCTGTGTCTCTAAGCCTTGGCCACTTGGATGAGTGCTTGATAAAGGGATATTTCCTTTATCGTCAGGCCTCAGTTTTCCCATTTATAGAACAGAACAAGGCCTCAGAGGTCAAAAGAAACATGGTCCCTGCATGTCTGGGGGCATATTAGAAACGAAATGTTACAAACACGGTTCAAGTTATTGTGTCATGTAAACGTTTCCATTCAACAAAAGACTGCTTTTCACGGGAATGTTACACTGCAGGGTGGCTGCACAATGCCCGAAATGATGATAAAACTCTAAATCGATGTGCTCCGGTATCTGCACAAGGAGGCCTGGTAGCCAGATAGAGCTTAAGATTGCGTGACCAATGCTTTTTCTGTTCACTCTTGTCCCTGTCCTCTGCTCCCGGGTAAACCTCCCAGGGAGAAAACAGCAAAAAGTCTGGATGTCGGTTTTTAGCCCCCTGGATGGGCAGCCTAGGCCAGAAGAGCCCCTGTCCCCTCAGGCAGGCCTGATCTTGACCTGTCTGAGTTCTGGTTCTGCTGGGGAAGGGGCGGGGCACAGGCTGTGGAGCAGGGGCTGTCCAGCCTTCCTCTGACCACTGAGGGCTCCCAGCCAGCCCGATGGACACCCCCTTCCCTGCCCTGGAGGATACGGAAGGAACCCAAGGAGGGCAGGAATCGGGGGGGCCCCCATTCGGCCCCGTCTCCCTGTCCTGTGCTGCCTGCAGCTGGGAGCAGAACCTCTGGAAACAGGATCGGACTGAATTGCTGTTGTGGGTGGACAAGCCACCATTTGGCACCGGTTATGGCTCTTGCCAGGGACAACTGGGAATGGCTCTAGTGGAGGAGACAGGGGAAAGGGGGCTGAGTGCCGGGGATGAGGGCTGGGGATGAGGGCTGGAACCTACCTGAAGATCCCACTCAGAGACTGGATTCCAGCCCCGGCTCGGCCTTTGAGTGCCTGTGTGAGTTCCCTTCTGTGGGCCTTGACTTTTCCATCCGGGAACTGGGCACATTTGGAGTTGGTGGCTATGAGTGGGGGCACAGAGTTTTAAAGTCCAGCCCCAGAGTCTGCCTGCTTGGGTACAAATCATGGCTCCACCACTCACCGCTGGGTGACTTTGGGATGGGTACCTGCATGGTGCCTGGCACGGAGGAAACAGTCTACACTTGTTAGTCGTTTCTTTCTTGCAGCTTTGTTTGTTAAAGCAAGGTGTGTGATAAAAGCCTCGGAATGGGAGTTGGGAAACGCATTCTCCGTTCAGACACTGCCTCCCCAGATGCCTGGCTTGCTCAGGCTGCAGTGTCCTTGTCTCTCAACTCGGGGAGTGGGCCCACAGCTCGGGGCTGGCGGGGGACAGAGTGGGGCCATGGGTTTGACCATTCCCAGAGGCCGCAGGCGGAGATCCTGGGTGCAGCCTCCCTCCCGGTGCTGGGAAGCCCCAGGGATGGGGTGCAGCACTGGGCCTGCCCTGGGCCTGCGCACACAAGTGCTACCCTGCCCATCCTGTGGGACTCTCCGGGCCCTGGTCCTCTGAAAGGGGATGAACACAGCCCCTCCCTGGGAAAGACATGTTCATTCAATCACTTATTCTTTCATTCAGTTATTTCTTGAGCACCTACTAAGTGCCAGGCATGCAGGTGGAGGCAAGGGGTGCAACAGAGACCAAGCCCTGCCCTCAAGGACCTGGATGTCCACGAGGCACGGGGGAACGGGCTCTGGGAGCCTGAGAACACAGAGGAGGCTCCTGCTTACCCAGTAGTCAGGGCAGGCTGCCAGGCCCTGGTGACACCCAGAATGGCAGGAGTGCCTGATGGCCAGCGAGTGAGTGGGAGGGAGAAGGGACATTCTATGTGGAGAGAACTGCGTGTGCAAAGGGAGAGGGCATGCGGGGTGTCTGGAGAGGCACCTGAGGGACAGGTCTGGGGGAGGACAGGTCGGGGGGAGGGACAGACATGGAGGAGGGCCAGGTCTTGGGGAGGGAACAGACAGGCCTGGAGTGGGGGCAGGGAAGGACAGGTTTGGAGGACGAGAAGGCCTGGGGCAGGGGCAGGGAGGGCCAGGCCTGGGAGAGGGGACAGACCGGGGGAGAGGACTGCCTGGAAGAGGGAACCAGGAGGGCCAGGCCTGAGTCTCCGCATCCCAGGCCACCCTCCCTCTGTGGTCCCGCTGTCTTGCTGGAAAACTCAGAGGCCCTGGTCAAGGGTGAGCCTTTCCAGGCTGCCTGGGAGGTAGGAGCATAGGAGGCTGTAAGGAGGGAGCGGGGAGGGAGGAGCCCCTCACCTGGGACTCACCTGCACACCTGTGTTGCAGATCACCAGAAGCTGGAGCGCGAAGCCCGCATCTGCCGCCTGCTGAAGCACCCCAATATCGGTGAGCCCAGAGAAGGGGGGGTGTGGGGTGGGAGCACCCCGACATCGGTGAGCCTGGAAATGGGGTGTGTGTGGGGGGGTGGAAGCACCCTTATATCAGTGAGCCTAGAAATGGCGGGTGGAGTGGGAGCACCCCAACGCTGGTGAGCCCAAAAATGGGGGCGTGGGGTGCGAGCATCCCAATATGGATGAGCCTAGAAGTGGGGTGTGTGGGGGCGGAAACACTCGGACCTCGGTGAGGCTGGAAATGGGGGCTGCAGTGTGGAGGCACCCCAACATCAGTGGGCCTGGAGATGGGGATGTGGGTGGGAGCACCCCGGCTCGACGAGCCTGGGGACGGGGTGGGCTGGGCCCCGATCCCTCCCGCCCTGGCTCGTGGGTGTTGGGGAGCAGCTGCTCTCTTCTCCAGGGCTGGAGGCAGGGAGAAGGGAAAGGGAGTGTCGCTAATGGTTTACATATTCCCGGGAGCCAGCTTGCTCTGGGGGCAGGTGCAGACAGGGCCCTTCCTCCCGTCCCACACTGCCGGCAGCCTCCCTCGGAAAAGCTGTTCCAGGAAGACACCTAAAGCTCGAGGAGAGACGAAAATAGGCCAGGGGGACGCTGGGCTCTGACCGGTGGCCCACTCCCCAAGCTCACCCGTGCCGAGCCAGCACCACGGCCCTGCCCACCTCCCAGACCTGCCACCCTGCCTCACAGAGGCAGGCTCCAGCTCGGTCCTGCCCCAGGCTGCATGGAGAAGCTGGGCCCCTAGGGGCTGGGACAGACCCAGGGCAGCAGCAGCCAGGGGCCAGGCACTGAAACCCCAGCTCACAGCCCCCCGCCCCCGTGCCCTTGGGGGTGATCCCCGCCTGCAGGTCCTGAGTCAGGAGGGAAGAAGTGTGACTTTTAGAGCTACTTCCGTCAGGGAATGGCTGTGTGACCTTGGGCAGGAGCACCACCCTCTCTGAGCCACCTTTCCCCAGCTTCATAAGGAAAGGGCTATCTGGACCTGTGCTTCTCCTTCTTAAGCCATGTGGGCACCTTGTGAAGAGGTGGGTCTGAGGCGGCAGAACTTGAGACCTCACAGTTCTAGCATGCTCTGAGGCCACGTCAAGGCAGCTGACTCCAAGGCCTTACCTGGGGAGTGGGTCTAAGTGTTCTCTCTGCTGTCCAGCTCCACAGCCCCCATGCCTCTCACAAGGGAGACTTCTTTCCCTGTGCTCAGGGCCCCAAGGGTTAACTCGTTTGCTACAGATACCCAGAAGACACCTCCCATTCCCTGCAGGACAGCAAACCCAGGTCCAGGAGTCAGAGCAGGGAGCATCCCCGGCCCAGCTGGCCCTGACCCCCTCACGTTGTCCTGCTCCCTGGCTGTCTGATGAAGGGACTGTGAGTGAGCTCTCACTGCACAACCCAGAGTTCTCCTGAAGGCTGTGGGCTTGGAGTGGGTGTGTGTGCGTGCCGCATGTGTGTGTGTGTATACGTGTGTGAGTGCACGCACGCCTGCCTGTGTGCACAACGGCAGCTGTCTCGGGTCAATGCTGCCTTTTCCTGCTCACCCTCCCTCTTCCTCTCCCTCCAGCTCCAAGGGGGAAGTTAAGGGCTCTGGAGTTGCAGCTTAACTGCTGTGTGACCCTGGGCAGGTTGCTGAGTCACTCTGAAGCTCGGTCGTAGCTGGAAAATGGAAATGGTGCCTACCTCACAGGACCGTGATAACTGAATAGAGCATAGCACAATGTCCGTCCCAGGCCAGTGCCTCATTATCAGTAAGCGGCTCCCTTTGGGAGGCTGAGGCAAGAGGATGGTTTGAGGCCAGGAGGCTGAGGCTGCAGTGAGCTGTGATCACGCCACTGCACTCCAGTCTGAGAGACAGAGAGAAACCCCGCTGTCTATCTAAAAAGAAAAGAAAAAGAAAAAGAACAAGCAAGCTGCCCCCTTCTCCTCTTCTAAAACTCCCCTCAGAACAATTTGGGCTGACGACATCCTCCTGGCCAAACTCCACACAGTCGCCCTTCCTCTGAGCCGTCAGGATTTTCTATTGTCTTCTTGTTTTTCAATAATACACGCGTATTATTACTGCATCAAGGCAGAGTTTAGAAAAGACCCTTTCTCTCCTGTCTTTGTCCAGCGGACTCAGGGAGCAGGCCTCTGCTGCCTACTTTCCACACGGGGGTTGAGGAAGAGGTTTTGCAGTCAGACACAGGTTTTGAGCTCGACTCTGCCGTTCTCCAGGTGTTTGAGTCTGAGCAGGCTGTGAAGCTCTCTGAACCAGCATCCTCCTCCATGACATGGGAATCATCCCCGTACCTGCCTTCAGGACTGTTGGGAGGTTCAGTGAGATCGTGCAAGGAAAGCCCTTGGCAGGAAGCCGGCCTGAGGCATAAGCTCAGGAAGGGTAGCGAGCGTCTTCACCATCTTCCTCACCGAGGCATTTACATCTTCCTTCCTTCACCTCGTGTCAAGGGCAGCGTAGACCCAGACAAGCCAAGGCCCCTGCTGGGCACTGAGGAAGGCAGGGCAAGTGAGGATGGGGCCCGGAGGCAGGAGGGGCTGAGTCTCGGGGACGGGAGAGCAGAGCTGTCACTGGCACAGGAGCACCCTCGGCAGAGCCTTGAGCTGCCGCCAGTGCTGCTGCGGCCCTGGCCCCCGAGCATCTCCAGAGCGGCTTGGGGTCTTCCCAGAAAAGAGTGGAGGGCCCAGGTGGGGGCACGGAGCCCGAGGAGCAAGCTGAAGGGGGCGCCTGGAGAAATGAGAGCACCCTCTTCAGCTTGCTCCTTGAGTCAACATGAGGCCACCCGCTTCTGCCTGTGTGCGACCATGGCCTGGCCCCAAGGGGACCTGGCCAGCAAGGTCCCTAGCCCGGCACAGGGCCTGTCCAACCGTGCTGTACACAGAACCCTTACCTATCGGGCCTGCCTGGGGGCAGTACCCTGCTCTCGGGACGCTCACCACCTGCAGGTGGGACAGAGCCCAGAGGCCACCCAGGGTGCAGGGGACAGGGCTTAAGCTCAGCCTGAGGGTATGATGGGTGATTTGGGGTGGTACAGAGAAGTGGCTGTCGGTGATTGTGATGATGACGATGTCTTCATTCATAGGACTGTTCCTAGGCCGGCCACTGTGCTAAATGCTTTGCAAGAATTGTCACATTTGGGACTCACGGCAGTCCAGTGGTATTAGCTGTTAGGAATGGAGACGAACAGAACCACATGGCTTGTAAGAGGGGGATCTGGTAGTGAACCCAGCAAGTCTGACCCTCAGTCATTCCACTTAGGGTCCTGAGTGGACATCACAAATGTGGTGTCAGTGGACACGTGGGTGAGAGAACTTATACGACCACCTTCTGGGAAAACACTGTAGCTCTTGGGAACAGCACAGGCACGTCAAAAGCCCGTGAACCCAGCTACATTATGAATGTTAGGCTACACATTTGTTTGTTCGATGACAATATTTTATAAGGCAAAAGGGACAGTGTGACTCAATGGGCACCGACATGCCAGCCACTCCACTGACGACAGGGACGTTTCTCCAGCCCAGGGCCCTGGAATCCTGCCTCTCTCCGGGACTCTGGCCGGGCTGCCCCTGGGGTGGCTTCTGTTGGTGGGAGGGGGTTTTGGATGTGAGGACAGCACTGAACATAGAACCCTGTCCCTGGGCTCTGGGCGGTGCCGGGAGCTTGGTCCAGGTGGCACCCTGGCTGAGTCAAGGTCAAGCTCCGGTCCAGTGCCCTTTGCCTGATATCTCAGGGCAGCCTGGGCAGTCAACAGAAGGTGCCCTCTGGGAATGTGCGCTAGAGGGAATGCCCCGGTCTGTCCCTTTCCCTGAGCACTGAGGACCTTATCCAAGGGCTGAGGTCCCGGCCAGCCGTGAATCTGGACCCCAGTGTTCTTGGGATCCTCCCAAAGGCTGTGGCTCTGTTCTGAAAGCCCTTCTGAGATGGCTTTTCCTGTGGTGTGGCCTCTCAGAGCATCTCACGCAGGAAAGGGAAGTTAGAGGCCAGCCACTGCCTACTGGAGTAGATGGGAAGAAGCCACTTCCCAAGAACCCACCTGGAGGAAGACTGGGATAGGAAGAGACCTTTTTCTAAACTCTGTCTTGATACATGAATGATGCCAGTTTATTGTAGATAAACGAGAAGACAAATACTTTTTAGAGTATCTGCTGGGCAGCTGTAGTGGTTCCCACCTGTAATGTCAGCGCTTGGGGAGACTGAAGCAGGAGGATCATTTGAGGCCATGAATTTGAGACCAGCTTAGGCAACGTAGCAAGACTCTGTCTTTACAAAAAATCAAAAATTAAATAAAGTATCTCCTATAACCGTAGCATCTAGCCCACATTTTATGGTCTACACGTCCATAGGCTATGCTACACATCATTGCTCAAGAACCATACTCCTGTATACATCTCTGAGGTCAGGCTTCCTAGAAGCAGAGCCTGAGGCAGGAGTTCAGGTGCTGATAGCTGCCAATGCTCCCAGCAGCTGGGAGCTGAATGCACCAATTTGCCAAATGGGGTTTAGGCAGGGCATGGGTGTAGAATTGCCAGATTTGGCCGGGCATGGTGGCTTACATCTGTAATCCCAGCACTTTGGGAGGCCAAGGCAAGAAGATTGCCTGAGCCCAAGGGTTCGAGACCAGCCTGGGCAACTTGGCGAGATTTTGTGTCTAAAATAAATTAAAAAACAAGTTGTGAGTGGTGGTGCATGCCTGTAGTTCCAGCTACTTGGAAGGCTGAGGCGGAAGGATTGCCTGAGCCCAGCAGGCCAAGGCTATGGTGGCCGTGAGCAATCCACTGTACTCCAGCCTGGGTGACAGAGTGAGACTCCAACTCAAAAAAAAAAAAAAAAAAAAAAAGTTGCCAAATTTGACACATACAAAATACAGTTGAATACATATACACATTTAAAAAATTAAGCCAGCATTTGCTTTGAAATGCACTAAAAAATTAAATTAATTGGCAGAGGAATAGATGGAAAATATTAAAGTAAGAAAGCACTGGTGATAACATCTGAGAGGTGGGTATGTGGTTATTCGCTGAACTGTATGTTTGAATGTTTTATAATAAGTTGCTGATGAGAAATTAAAGCAGGCTTAAATGTGCTCTTAAGATGTTGTATGGTAGGCCAAAGTGGAAGCATTACTTCAGGCCAGGAGTTCAAGGCCAGTCTGGGCAACATAGTGAGACTCCATATCTACAAAAATTAAAATAATTAGCAGAGCGTGGTAACACACCTATAGTCGCAGCTACTCGGGAGCCTGAGGCAGGAGGATTGCTAGAGTCCAGAAGGCGGAGGATGCAGTGAACTATGATTGCACCATAATACTCCAGCCTGGATGACAGGGCATGACTTTGACTCGAAAGAAAGGAAGAAAGGAAGGAAGGAAGGAAAGAAACAAAGAAACAAGGAAGGAAGGAAAGAAAGAAGGAAAGAAAGAAGGAAAGAAAGAAAGAAGGAAGGAAAGAAAGAAAGAAGAAAAGATTTGTTTTGCTTTAAAGTACACTTAGGCTCAGCCTGTAATCCAGGCACTTTGGGAGGCCGAGGCAAGTGGATTGCCTGAGCCCACAGGTTCAAGACCCACCTGGGCAACTTGGCGAAACCTTGTCTCTACAATAAATCAAAAATTAGCTGGGCTTGGTAGCATGCGCCTGTAGTTCCAGCTACTTGAAAGACTGAGGCAGAAGGGTCGCTGGAGCCCAGCAGGTCAAGGCGGCGGTGGCCAGGAGTGTGCTACTGCCCTCCAGTCTGGGCGACAGAGTGAGACCCCAACTCAAAAAGAAAAAGGTATACTTAAACCATCTTCCAGTGGTTAGTTATAAATATAAATATATATAAATAATATAATATATAATTATAAATTATACAAATACCATTGAAGCATGCTTTATTTATTTTATTTTATTTTTGTCAATGCATATTTAACCTGATCTGGGACGGTGAAGCATGCTTTAAAATCTCATTTGAGTCTGTGTCCCCTTCACCCCCTCATCTCTAGGCCCCTCTCTCTCTCCTGCAGGCCCCCTGCTCTGGGGGGTGGCTGGTGCATCCCTCTCCATCCGCTCTCCAAACTCCATACCAGTGGGGGCACCATGAACAATTCAGGGGATCTCAACATGGAGTCAGAAACGCACGCACATGGCGAACATTCGGGTGGCTCTCAGGTCTACAGCGAGAAAGGTGTTCCCTCCTGCGATCCAGCTCCGCTAGTTTCTTCCCCAGAGATACCCCCAGTGCCCACGTCTCTGTTCTCTGAGACTGAGGCCATATATACACCTAAACGCATCCTTTTAAAAGGTACCATACACACTGTCTTGCACTTGGCTTTTACACCGAACGACGTGGTTTGGAGCCGGTGGAGACCCGTGGCTGCCTAGCTGCTGCATTATTGAGCAGCTGTGGCGCTTTCCATTGTGCAGAGGGATCATCAGCTCTGAGCCTGCACCCCACCCCCACCGCGGACATTTTTAGGTCAAGGCGCAGGCAGGGCCATGAGCCCTGTCCTAAGAGGACCTGCCTTGGCTGACGGCTGCAGCCCGAGTCAGCCCCAGGCTGAGGCCCCTCTTTCAAAGCTCAGGGGGTGATGCTGGGAGCTGGGCACTCCTGGGAGCTCTATCTCTGTTCCTAGCAAATAAGGTGTGAAGAGATGGCAGATCTCAGCACCCGGAACTCTGGGACCCTCTCACTCCCGCCTCCACCTGGGAGCAGAACAGGGATGTTAGCTCAGTGCGCTGAGTGAGCACCAACTGTGTGCCTCCTGGAATTCACACAAGTCAGCAAGTCTAGGAGATTCATTCTCATTGTCCAGGTAAGGAAAGAGAAGCTCAGAAAGGCCTAGCAACTTGCCTCAAGTTACACAGCTAGTAAGTGGCAGAGTTTGGAGCCAGGCGCCCTTTCTGTGACTCCAGGCCGCCAGGTTATGGAAGTGACGGTTGGAGAGAGAGGGGACCAGACTCTGACCAAAGCAAGTGTCTTTAGCCTGGAACTCCAGGGCTCTTTCTGTAATGCCTGAGGTGTGAGCCCTCAGCGTAGGGAGCTCTTCTTCACCTGTGGTTGTCACCTGTGGTTGTTCGGGCACCTGACACCCAGGTTGCACTCAGTGACTGGGAAACCAGGAGGTTGACTATTGGAGGGGTAGAGGGTGTGATGGGGAGTAGTGTGTCCTGCTGTGACCAGCTGCTTCGCCCCCACAGTCCGACTCCATGACAGCATCTCGGAGGAGGGACACCACTACCTGATCTTCGACCTGTGAGTTTGACTCCTCCTTGGGACGTGCCAAGGGTGTCGAGAATAGCCTGAGCAGAATGTCCTCGCCGGGCTTCCTTGCATGCAGGCCTGCCCCTAAGCACGCGAACTGACTTTCCTGAAACACCAGCAAGCACGTTTAGCTATCGTCCTGGATTTATTTTCGCTTCTTTTCTATTTGCGGTCCATGGGGCTGGCTTCCCGTTTGCAGTGGTGGGATAACGCTTCCTTTTGGAATATGCTTAATTTTTTGAAGAGAGTTGATTGAAAGGAAAGCAATAATGAAATTACAGGCCTCAGTGGCAGCGAAAATCAGTGATTTGACCTGTCAAAAACAGCCCTTGAGGCGTTGACGGGGGAGGCCTGGCTTTCTAATGAACCCAGTGATGTGCTCTGAGGGTCCCCACCTCTGGACCCCAGCTTCACAATGGGAGAGTAGGGCAGGGGATGAAGGAGGGGGAGGGGGCAGTCGAGGGGTGTGCTGGACGACAGGAGGCCTGCAGGAGGGGCACCCCGTGGCCCTGAGCCCTTTTTTTGTGCCTGAGGTCCTGAGGTCCCTGGGTCTACCCTGAGCTTGCTGGAGACTCCTTCCGACGCGGGAGAGCCTGGGCCTCTGTGGGAGGGTGATTCTGTGCTGTCTCCCCAGGGTCACTGGCGGGGAACTGTTTGAAGACATCGTGGCCCGGGAGTATTACAGTGAGGCAGATGCCAGGTGCGTGCCAGGTGCCGCCTGGGGACAGGGCACTCCCCCGCCATGGTTTCCCAGGGAGGCCTGGGCTCACTGTGGCCGCTCTCTCTCCCCAGCCACTGTATCCAGCAGATCCTGGAGGCTGTCCTGCACTGCCACCAGATGGGGGTGGTGCACCGTGACCTGAAGGTGAGCAGTCCTGCGCCACCCCTCCCCTCTCCCCCTTCCCCGCAGTGCTGAGTGTTACCCGAGTCTCTCCTTTCCCTGAGTTCGGCTGGGAAGGGGGGTGGGAATGTTTCCTGCCTGCTGTTTAGATGAGGAAACTGAGCTCAGGAGGGTGGAGCGCCTGGGTTTGGGCAGTGCCTCCCAGCTCCAGCCGGGTGCTCTGTGGGGCCATGTCCCAACCAGGTCGCTTGCTACCCACGCGGCCGGTGGAAAACGGCAACCTCCCCGAGCCTCAGCTTCTCTACAGCTGGGGTTGCCAAGGCAACCACTGCATGGGCTGGGAGGACATGGAATGAGATGGCACAGCCCTGGCGTCCGGACGCCCTGCAGCTCTTGTTCCCAGGTCCCTGGCCGGCAGGGGGAGAAGAAAGCCGGGGTCTGGGGCCATGGCGTCCTCCCTCTCCCACCGGGGGAAGGTGCCTGGCAGGCCTAGGCAGGTGTGGGTGTGGTCTGGGGCCCAGAGCAGAGCCTCAGTGGTGCATACGGCTGGTAGCTCATATTGTCCCCATTTTGCAGGGCAGGAAGATAGGCCTAAAGAGTCCAGAGGATTTGCACAAGGACACGCAATCCAACTGTCCTGAGCTAGGACAAGGGCCTTCAAACCTTAGTCCTGTGAGCTTGGGGGTCTGGCGTCAAAAGGCCACTCCATCCAGCTCCTGCCCTTGCCGCAGTCCTTCCTAGGGGGACCCTGCCAGGGCCCATCCAGCTCACTTTCCAAGGGGTAGCCCCGCGCATCGTCAGGGAACATCCTGTCTTTTTTCCTCGGAGGCTTGGCCCTAAACCCCACTTCCCGGCGGAGATCAAGCCTCCATATCAGAACGCTCCAGAAGGCCTCAGGCATTGTTGTGGACTCCCAAGTCTCCTGCAGGCCCTCTCCCTGCCATCCCCCCGGGATTCGCTCTCTAGGGCCTCCTCACCCGGGCCCCTCCCTGGCAGGCTTCAGCTCATCTGGGTCCCTCTTTGGGAGGCCCCTGCTCTGACTGTCCCGGGCAGTCCACGACTCCCCTGAGCTGGGGACGAGCTCTCGGTGGCTGAGCTTAGACCAGGCCCGGGTGCCCTCGAGGGGGGTCTCCGGCCAGAGTGCAAGCGGCTTTCCCAGGGGGCCTGCTCCTGTTCCAGCCACAGCCTCTACACGGGAGGAGGGGAAGAAGCAGCCCGAATTAGGGCACTCAGGATGCACTAATTAGTGGCACATTCATCAAATCAGGGCAAGACGGCTACTGAGACCCAGGACGTGTTGGGAGCACAGTCCCCAGAGGACAGAGGGGCCTTAGCAAACGAGGCAGAGGAAGCTGCGTCCAGCTTTGGCCCGTGAAAGGCCAGACGTGGGATCCCCCAGAAGTCCCCTGGGAGGAGGAACTGGGAGGACAGAAGCCGACAGTCTCCAGAGGTTCTGGACAGAATGGGAGGACTAGCATTCCTCAAGCACTTGGTGCTGCCACCGGGGTGTGCGTGACACAGTCTCAGTGAAACAAGCTGGGAGGAGGGCCATGGTGTAGGCCGGCTGCACAGGGTCAGAAGCCAGGACTGTCCCAGTGTAGGGTCGCATTCTTAGCTCCCTCCATCCTGAGTCCCACGGTGGAGGGACCGGGAGGAAGTAGAGGAGCTCTGGGGCCTGAGCCAGTGCAAGGCAGCAGCTTGGACACCTGGGCCAGGGGTGGGCACGCCCCAACTCAGCTGCAGTCCCTGCACAAGCCCTGCCAGCTCTCAGCCTGTGGTGGTTGGAATGGAGTCAGTCTTTGCCTGGATTCTGGCTCTATCCTTCACCTGCTGTGTGATCCTGGTGAAGACACTTCGCCTCTCTGAGTCTCAGTGACCTCATCTTTATACAGACGACAAGCAGCAGGACAGATGAGACACTGACATCCCTGGGGCTGGCAGGCTGTGAATGAATGCAGAGACCCAGGGGAAACTTCAAGCATTACGGGGAGATCTATGTGGTGATAGCAGGAGCTGAGGCAGGATGCCTGAGGGCTCGTCCTTAGTCACAGAGGGCCACTTTGAAGGCGATACGAGGGGTAACAGCTGGACAAGGAGAAGGGGCAATCCGGTGACACGTGGGGAACAGGAGGTGCAAAGGCCCAGAGGTGGATATTGCGAGACTGTTTCAAGGAGCGTAAGAAGGCTGCTGTGCAGGCCAGGCTTGGTGGCTCAGCCTGTAATCCCAGAGCTTTGGGAGGCCGAGGTGAATGGATTGCCTGAGCCCACGGGTTCGAGACCCACCTGGGCA